ACAAGGGCCGGTTTTCCCTGGGGAGGCAGGGGCCTGGGGCGGGGGTTTTCCCGGGTTTTGGGCCCGGGGAAAGGGGCCCCGGAAACGGGCAAATTTTTGTTTCGCGGGAACCGGAATCCCCGGGGGGGCTGGGGGGGAAATGATTCCCTTGTTTTCCAAAGGACCCCCCCCCGGCCAAAAAATAAAAAAGGGGGTGGGGAAAACCAAATTTTTTTAGTTTTTGGGCCCGACCCCCCCTGATAGGGTGGGGGGGTTTTTCCTTTGGAAGCCCCCCCCCCCCCCCCCCCCCCCCCCTCTCCGTATGCCGCCCGCTTGGGTGGTGTTGGGGTGGGTGGCACACAGAAGGGTGGTCGTTGTCTTTGATGGTCTCTGTGGTGGTTGTTGCTGTTGTTGCTGTTGTTGCTGTTAGTGTTGCTGACTGTTGGAAGGGTTGACGAACGGTTTGGCATTTCTCCCGCTGTTTTTGTTTTTTCCTCGTCGCTCGGCAGGTTTCTAGAAGCCAAGGCCGGGGCCACGGTCCTCCTGTCGGAGTCTCGGGACCTGGTGCAGTTCGTGGACATGAACATGCACGCCTTCCGGTGAGAGCTGGGGCACCCGTCAGGCAGCAGGGTTCTGGTGTTGTTGTCGGTGGGCATAAGGCTGTCTGTTGGTGTACACCTACCTGTCCACGCCATACCTTTCGCGCATATCGTGCCGCACGTCTGCTTTCACTGCTACTGCTACTGCGGCTGCTGCTACTGATATCAGTCCCGATCGTATTCACGAGGCTAGCGTCTACTTCTGCTGTCAGTCCTGATCGAAGGCGAAGCGGTACATTCTTGTGGGAGTGAGGTTGCCTCTACCGATGGGCGAGCCTTCCGCTATACGTCTTTTCTGGCACTGTTTTCCGATTTTTCAGCTTAGAACGGGTGATATAATAGTCGGCACGATTACAGTAGTTTCACATGAAAAAGCAGGGCGAGCTGCGACGTCCTAAAAATGTTGCACTACGTCTCAGGAGTGTGGCCGCCTGTTTCTTCTCTCTTTGCGTTGCGGTTGGTTGTGTCACCTGGCGTTGGCAGAAAGCTCCTGAAAAAGCTTGACAAGTGGACCGGCGGCGTAAGCGGGAGAGAGTACTTCACCTCCCTCATTCAGACCCACTCTTGGATTAACGGCGATCGAGCGCACGGGGTGAGTGGACGGAAGGAAGACGCACTCGTGCGGCCGCCACGGGCTGGGGAGGAAGTCTTTTTGTGGGTCTGTTTTGCATCGTGGCGTGGCGACACGCTCTACTGTTTTTGTCGTGCGCCTCTCGGTTTCTCTATCTCGTTTTTTTTTTTTTTTTCAATGCGACCGTCCGATCCCCGCTTGCCGTACTCTCGTCGGTGTCTCGAACCCCCCCCTCCCACGAGGGGACTACCTGGCTCGCGTGTGGTACGGGTCGATCAAGAAACAAACGCGTTGTTCGTCGCTTGGGGTTATGCTGCCCTTGCCCGCTCTGCTTGCACCCCACGCCACGCCGCCCTAACCAAACCCCACACCTGGTGCATCATCGGGCACTCCCCCCCCCCCGCCCCGATAAAACAAAACCGGAATCAAAAGGTGCTGCGCATGGCCTCGGCCATGTCGGACCACCTGCGGAGCCTGCGCCCGGCGCTGGCTCTTGGCCCCGCGGCGGGGGGACCCTGCTGGGCGGACCGCACCGTGTACAGCGTGGGTACGTTCGATCGCCCGCGCCTGCCTCCCGCGGAGCCCTCTGCTCTTCCCAACACTACCCCTCCCGGGAGTTCCTCCACGAGTCCCACCGCCGCGGGGGGCGGGGCAGGAGCAGCAGGAGGAGAAAGCCTCGCTTTCGGGTACTTCGGCAGCGGCAGGCCGCCGTCGCCTCCGCCGACGTCAGCGGTGACGTCGGCCACGAAGGAGGCGGTAGAGGGCCCGTCCCCGCTCCGCTTCCTGCGGGAGTTCGGGGCTGTGGTCGTCGTGGGGGTCTACACCGACGCCGCGCACGCGGCCTCCCACGGCGGCAAGGGTAAGGGCAGGGACAGCGGCGGCTACGGCGGGCAAGCAGGGACAGGGGCAGGTGCAGGAGCGAGAGCAGGAGGACGGCCGTTCGAGAGCCTGGAGGCCCGCGTCGCCCGAGTGCGCCCGCACGCGGACCGAGTCGTTGTGGTGGACTCGGCGGACCCGGCCAGGGTGAGAGAGATCTTGTTCGGCGCGGCGGCGGGAGCGGTGGGGGACACCCGGGGCGGCGGCGCGCCCACCAACAACTGCTGCTTCGTGGTTTCGGACTGGGGGGCGCGGGGCCCCGGGGGTACGGGGGCCGGCAGACGGGCGCGACGAGACGTGCGGGCCCTGATGGAGGCCAGCATGCCCGTCTTCCGGCTACCGAGCCCCACCTGGGAGTGTGCGGTGACCGATAGCGACGGGGAGGAAGAGGTGGCGGAGAACGGGGGCGGCAGCGGCGGCAGGGGGACAAGAATGGCGGCGTAAGTGAGTTTTCCGCACGGGCGATGCTGCCGCCGAGTTTTGTTATTTTTGTTGGGTGTTTGTTTGATGCGAGGAGTTGGGGGGGGGCTGTTTTTTGTTTTGCTGGAGGGAAGGAAAAGGGAGAGGCTTTGTTATATTTGTGCTGGAAGGAACGGAAAAGAGCAGTTTGGTTTGATTTTTGATGCTCTTGTGATTTCGATGCGCGCGTGGGGGTTTGAAAGTGGCCATGGAACCGCCGCATGAGTTAGTGTGTGTGTGTATGTGTTTGTTAGCATCTACCGCGCCACCCGGCTGACCATTTACATTATGTCAGTCTCAGTACGGTTGAAAACAGAACTGCTCCTATGGGCCATGATCTGGGATGCCGCGAGAGGGGGCGTCACGGGGGAGGCTACGCTATTCTCAAGATGAAAGGCGGGAACGGTAGCAACGGAGGCTGATTCTTTGCACACGCGTTCATTTGTGCGCGTGAACTAGTTGCCAGGCATGTGGGTGCAGTAGATTAGGCGTTCCGCAGATTAACGTTCATGTTTTCTCGCCCTCTGTTGATGCGCTTTCGATGTGATTTTACGGTTTGGTTTATATACCCGAGATTCGACGTGTGTATGGGAGGGTTTTTGAGTCACGCCTGCGTTTTCATGGTAAATTTGAAGTAGTTCTCGAGGTTCACGAGTAAACGGAAACGCACCAACGTCGTAAGTGCGTGAATGACAACGTTTTGTTTTTTATACATATTGTATACCTCTCTCGTTGCTATATAGCCGCCATAGTCGTGGTCGCGTTTGCTTCATTTTTGTTTATTCGCTTGATTTTGCGCGCATGTTTTGTGCTTTTATGGGGAAGGTGTCTTTTTGCGTCACCGAATTCTGTGGGTATGAGTGTTGTGCTCTCCCCGTTATCGCTGACCGGTACAGAGCTGCTGCTGTTCGTGTTGTACATTTGTGGGTGGCAGAGTTTGTGGGGCACAGGTGGCAGCAACAGGAAGAAAGTCCAACGTTTGGTTGCGATACATGTACGTACCCACCCATGGAGAACCGAAACATGTGATGCATGTTTATGTTTGGCAATGAGAATCATTTTGTTGGAACACACCTACGATCGCACATCGATGTACGTACGCTGACATAGCGGGCGGGTATGCGTATGGTGATGGGATGCTGTCCCACCAGGATTCACTCACATTTTCACAAGATCGGACAAGTTGACCGAAGTAGTGAATACTGTCAGACTCGGTGTTCATTGTTTCCTACCTCACTCACTCAGTCTTGTCTAAGCCACTCTCCAGTGGAGCAGAATGAATGACTCATCATCTTCTGGAGCACTCCCGCTCCCCTCCCCGCCCCGTCTCGAGTTCGAAGCACCTGGGACTCTACAAGGTCGGAGACAGACGAGTCTCGTACGACATTCGGTCTCACCCCAGAGAAAGAGGCGCGTGCATGGTCGAAAGTGCTTTTCCTTCAGATACGTGTTGAGAAGACACATACCATGCCTATGGGTCAACCTCAATGGGCCAATTCCAGCTGGGGGGCTACATGATCATCAACTGTATTAGCGCCCTCAATCACATTTATTTTTGGAAGGAGAGGGGGGCAATTCAAGGCACAGCGCACGGAATACCATGACGCCGAACAATGCTGGTCGGGATTACATGTGTACGATCTTCACTTTGTGCTCACCGGAGTTCCATCAAGCAAGGTGCTCCTTCACCCAGCTGGTAACCTGGAAGTCCACGCTTCGTAGCACCCGGAGGATGGGTTGTTGGTCTTGCATGCTCTCTGTCAAAGCGGGTTCGTTCGTAATCAATGGGGAGGAGGGGGGGGGGGGGGGCGTACCCTTGGGTTTTGCATGCCTTAACTACAAAACCATTGACCCCCCCTCCCCAAAAACCCGGAAAATTTTTTTTCCCCCTGGACCAATCCCCGATGCCAATCTTTCCTTCCTACTTTGTTCCCCAAAGGGGGCTCAAACTGCCTTTTCCCTGTCCATCTAATGTATCCTGTCGTTATCACTTCCCGCCTTTTCAACCCACTTCCTATGCCCCAGGACAGCCACTACTACCACGTCTTCCCCTGGCTATTCCATGCCTCAAACATCTCCTCCCAGCATCTCTTGGGCATCTTCCTTTTTTTTCCCCAACTCGTGTACACTCCTCCCATCTCCTTGTTGTACAGCGGACATCCCGCAACTACATACAGGACATGAACGAACCCGCTCTTCGCACTCGGAGCCGCGTTCACATTTATTTGAACTTGTCGTCTTCATCGTCTACGTTCCTAAATCTTCGTCTACGTTCGTTCCCGAAGGCCAATGTCCCCGGTCCCAAATGTGGAGGTCAGGATAATATGGAGATTCAGGGAGCAGTTCTTTTAATGTGAAGACAACACAACGACTGCTGTGCTGTACTGTAGTACTGCCACACATCGCGGACAACCACAGGCTGTCCGCTGTACGGGTTTGATGGCACTCTCCACCGCCTCACTTGAGGGCTTGAAGAAAAGAAGTGGATTGTCCCCAGAGATCAAAAGGCAGAAATAAGAAAATACAATGCAACAGTCCAAATGAATTGGAGTAAGAAATATGCATACCATTCAAGAAAAGCTGAAACCCCAATTTTGCAATTGGGGACCTCAATTATTATATGGGGGTGTTTGATTTAATTAATTGTTTTGGGGTTTGGGGAGTACATATGGAAGACTTCGGCTGACCCTTCGACCCAAAATAAGGGATTGAGGCTCGACCCGATTTTGACGTTCTATCTGTATTAAATCTCGCTGCATATACAAAGGTAGCTCCTGCCCGTCAGCGATGCGTGGTACATACATCCTTGCGGTGGAGCGCGCCACACCACCACACGGGCTTGCGTGAGTGAGTGCTGCTTTGCGCTCTGGAGAGAGAGGTCTTCAAGGAGACGTTGCCACCCTCAACATACAAAATTGCTACAGCAGGAGGAGTAGAGCTGTTGTATTGTAAAAGGTAGCCCCCGGCTTCGACTCAAGCCTTTTTCCCAATTGGATAGAGGCAGGGCTTGGCAAACAAACGCAGGCCGCCGTTGAAAATCTTAAGCTTTGTTGATTTTTTCTTGCGTATGTTTCAAACAACAAGCGCAGGCACTCTCTTGTAGTTCTACGATGCCCACGATTTCCCCAGCACCCATCGATCTTCGTTGCAATCAAAACCAGCCTTTTCAATGAGCAGCATTTTTCGGAATTTGAGATACACTTGGTGTTACTGCTCGAGAGATCCACATGATGACTTGAAAGAAGTCAGAATCCCCCAAGAACAAAACCAAACAAAGACAAAAACAGCATCAATGCAAGAAAAAGACAAAACTATTTACTACGCGGACAGCGACGATATACACCCAGGCATGCTGGTACCGGTAGCCGTACAACTTGAGCGAACAAACCTATTGTTTTTAATCTCTCTGAAAGAACAAATTGAGCCCTGCTTTCCGCTATAAACTACAGCTCGCTGTGATTCAATGCGGTAGGAAGTAGGCGCCAACGACAACAGACAGAAAATAACGCGCCTTTTTAAACCCCAAACAGGAAGACTCTCAGATGCTTGTCCGTTGTCCTCCTCTTCTTCCATTCCGTCCCCCTCCGGAAACCGGAAAGCCGCCAAAAACGACCCAGATTACCACCAAACGATTCAAAAAAAGGCACAACACCATCCGTTGCCTACCTTTCTTTGCCTTGACGGTACGCCCATCGGCGAGCAACCCACAGTCAGCAGTCACTTTCGCCTTTTTTTCCCAAGCACGACTAGCCCATCAGTTTTCGACCTTGGCGGACAAACCCCATAATCCTCAATCCCTTGGCTCGCGCAAGGCCTACGTTTGCCTACCGCCGGTCTGCTGAGCGGGAGAAGAAACGAGGCCCGCGCTTAAATCACAAGCTCTTCAGATCACCACCGATCGATCGTCTCGAGTCACTACAAAACAACCCCGCCGCCGCCACCACCAGCAACGAAACCCATGGTAAACACCACCCACGATGGGGCTTGCTTGATATTTGAAAGACGAACAACCTTCTTCCCCTTTCGATCACGCCGTTATTCCGTTCCAATCAGCCGACCAGCCCGACCCCGTGGTTGCCCCCCCCCTGAGATGGGATTCGCGTGCCGTGGCGCTCAAAGTGGGGCACAGTTGTTTCATCATGGAACACCTACGAAGGCATGGGACGATCTCCGTAGACAGACGCAGCAGCCGCAGCCTTGGCTGCCGCCTTCTCAACGTGGCCTGGCCCAGAAGCAGCAGTGAGAACTGATGACCGGGGGGCACACGAGAGCGCGTGCGGGCGAAAGCCTCATTGGAAACCCAAAACATCCCGTCCTCCCGTTGGCATACATACGCGTCTTGTGCCTCGCGATGTTCGGAGGGAAAAACACTACATAGAAGACCAAACATGAGGGACTTATCTACTGCTGTCACGAAGGGGTCAGTCGATACACCTGCACGTCCGGCCTGAACGAGGACCACGTCTGTAGTTGCTCTCGGGTTTTGTCGTCCAAAGGTTTTGCATCCGATCCGTGTTGGCGGACAGATCATGGTACACACAAGAGAAGCGAGAGAGAAAAAAAACACGCACACACAAACAACAAGCGGAACGACGGGTGCATCCAGACGAAGCTGCTATACCGCTGCTCGTACTGCTGCTGCTGCCGCCGCCTCCGTCAGATGGAAAAAAAAAAATTCACAGGTAAAATAACAAAAAAACAAAAACGACATGACACACATACACACGAATACCAATACGCACACAAGAACAAGAAGAGAAAGAGTCCATCGGTCCGTGAAAAACACAAAAAAAAAAAAAACACGCTTACAGTACCCGACAGCAGTACCCGAGCCAGGATCGAACTGGTTGGGTGCTTGTTTGCACAACGCCTGACCCAAGTAGAATGCGGCCCAACTCTGCTCTCAACAACTATGCATACCCTCCCCCGTGTACCTCGGGCTACGCCCCCCTCCCCCCCCCCCCCGGCCCCCAGGGCGGTGCCCCCTCCGTCTCCGAAGGCGGCCATGGCGCACGCGAAGGCCACGAAACAAACACGGAACCCCCCAGGCAAGTGCCGTCGTCTCCCCCCAGGAGCGCGCTGCCCCGCCTCGAGAGGGACGCGTGCATGCGTGCTCGTGCATCCAAGTGACTTAAGGCAGCCAACGGACAGCAACGCTTAAAAAAGTGACGGAAATCCCGATCATCCTCCACGGCAGAGAGTCAGACTTTCCTCCGATGATTTGAACAAAGGCGGCGGTACCCCAGCCCCTCCGCCGGCCGCTCCGCGGTCGATTCGTTATTTGTTGTTTCGAGCCTTCACGACCAAAACAAAGTATCACGTCCGTTCTACTACTTGGGGAGGAGAGGTAAGCTCTTGCCGATGCCGATCTCGGGTGGCTCGATCAGCGCCTTCACCTCCCGACTCTTATTCCGTTCCGAGACGCTGAGCATGCTGTAGCGGGTGCTCGCGAGGATCACGACGACGAAGCCGAACTTGTTCAGCGTCGAAGCTGTGTCCTTGAAGACGACCGAGCTGGCGGCGACGATCAACACCTAAACGCCGGAAGAGGGAGAAAAGAGGATTAGACAACCACGGAGAGAGCGAGAGAGGGGGGGGGAGAGAGAGAGAGAGAGAGAGAGAGAGAGAGAGAGAGAGAGAGAGAGAGAGAGAGAGAGGCAGACAGACAGACAGACGACGATGGGCAGGCACAGAGACAGAAACAGAGACAGACGGTCGGGAGAGGAAGAGAGACGACGATAACACAACCACATAGAACCACAGACAGAAACAGACAGGCAGATGGTCGGACAGCACCGCCGTCACGCCGTGGTTAAGGTGAGCTTCGTTTCACTGCATGTGCGTGTGTCGCATCACGACATGATTTCAGTAGGATGGCGCCAAGCATTATAATATCGTCATGCTCGAGTATCGTAATAATTGTACTAAACGTTTTCCTGAAAACTCGTGCAGCGGCGGAAGCAGCAGCATGCTGTGCGGCGAGCAAGGAGCGGCGGTGGAACAACACAAAGACATCGGCACCCACTCCTAGCCTCAAACATGTCCTTCGTGTCGCTTTTACGCTCTTTCGTCCGTCCGATTCACTTCATCGCGGCTAACTCTTGGTGCCGTACCCGCTTTCGCGCTTGAAGGCGCTCGTTCCTTACTTGGCTGGTTCGTTCGTGGTAGCGCCCAAGACGAGACGAACAATACTAGTTCAACTTTTGCTGTACGGCGGCGGCATCTCCCCCACGCACCAAGACCAAGCGTTGCTTTTCAGCTTCTACCCCAACCCTGTATTCTCTAAATAGGGTTAAAAAAAATGGAGATGGATGATACAACAACATCCGAGATCTACCCTTGGACAACGCAAAAAACTAAACAACGTCCACAACGGAACGTCCCCCCTTAAAGAAAATGCAAAAACGCTATGGATCCATTGCTAATGATCCTAGACCGTCATGTATGCATAAAGATAAAAGTCGTTGTGGTATACTTGGAAGCACATACTACGACAGAAAAAAACAACAAAGAAGAGGAAAACAGACGGCTGTGACGCACCTGCTTGATGTTGGCCATGATGCTAAGGGTCAGCGGCGAGGTGACCTTGTTCGCCTGCAGGCTGCAGAGGTTCAGCGAGAAGGAGCCCACCCCCGTAATCGCCACCCCGTACAGTGCCCACCCCTCCCTGATCTCTCGCCAGTTGGCGACTAGGCTGCTAACCTCCCCGAGAGCGAGCGCGCCCACAGCCATCTGCACCAGGGCTAGGGGCGCCATTCGCGAGAGCAGCTGGAGCGGTGGCATCTGTTTTATGTTTTTTTATTTTTTCGAAGCGGTTTGTGGTAGAAAAAGGGCGGGGGGGGGGAGGGAGAGAGAGAGAGGAAATCGAGGGGGGGGGGGGGGGGGGGGGGGGGATAAAAAAAATGGGGTTTTGTACCGCCCCCCCCCGGGGGGTTTAAAAAAACTGTTTCCCCCCAACAAGAAAAACGAAAGGGGAAAAC